TGTGGTGGTAGCTGATCACTGCTGCAGCTGCTTGGGAGCTACTGCAAGGAAATAGAGTCCAGGACATCTCACTAATGCCAAAGGATGTCACACGGGATGGTGGTCACAGAGTGGACCTTCAGAGATTTGAGGTGGACATTAGGAAGTGCTTCTTTAGCTGAGTGTGGTCCAGCCCTCAGACAGGTCACCAGAGCGATGGGTGATCCCTGTCCTGGGGGGTTTCAAGGCTCAGGTAGGCAAAGCCATATCCACCCTGATCTAGAGTTGGGAATATTCTTACCATGAGCAAGGACCTGGACTGGAGATCCCTGAGGTCCTTTCCACGGCTTAGTCTGTTTGGCCTTCTCTGCTGGGGGAACAAGCCAGTCTGCCAGGACCATGACTCTGCACAGTGGGGACTCCTGTTGCTTGCCATAGGGCTCCTGGCGTGTTGTCAGCACAGCTCTGGGCACCCCGTCTTGATCCCATCTTATTTATGGCACATCCTTCCTGTCTTCCCCCTGCTATTACTGCCTGAAATGTTGTAATTTAGATTCCGGCTGTGTTTGATTGCAAATTCTCCCAATGTACAAATTTCAGTGACAAGCACTAGAGCAGCTCATTTACATGCCAAAGTGATCAATCTGGAACTGCTTGTTACACCAGAGAATAAATAAATAACGGATACATTAAAGAATGGGTAACAATCAGCCAAATTAACCAATATATGTCGAATAATGACAAGCCCTGACATTCTTAACAGGGAACAAAAGAGGGAAGGATGGGACAAGCTTTCCCAACATTGCCCAGGGCTGCTCAGCACTCATCTATCTCCTCTCACCCCATGAGCCGACAGGGATGTGCATCAATGACAGTGAGCAAGGGCTGGAGCCTGAAATCCTGCCTTTTAAACCACATACCTGTCTTTATTCCTCACATCTGCTTTCTGCAAGGATTTTTCATAGGAACAACACATTCCCTGGGACAGCAATTTAAATATTTCAGACGTGTGTGGCAGCTACGCAGTGTGGCAAGTGGCCTTGTGGCCTGATTTTCACCTGACATGTCAGGAAATCCTTCCAGGGCACCATCACTCTCCACAACCCCCTGACAGGAGGGTGGAGCCAGGTGGGGGTAGGCTTCTCCTCCCAGATAACAAGTGACAGGACAGAGAAAATGGCCTCAGTTTGTGCCAGGGGAGGCTTAGGTTGGATATTGGGAACAATTCCTTCACTAAAAGGGCTGTCAGGCATTGGAACAGGCTGCCCAGGGCGGTGATGGAGTCACCATCACCAGAAGAGTTCAAAGAACATGTGGATGTGGCACCTGGGGACATGGTTTAGGGGTGGCCCTGGCAGTGCTGAGTTAATGGTGGAACTCCATGATCTTAGAGGGCTTTTCCAACCCTAATAATTCCACGACTCTGTGATTCTGCTTTGGGACAGCCCAGCTCAACAGCTCTAACATCCATCTGTGTGGTTATCCAGGCACCATTAACCCACCAGTGGCTGCAGCAGAGTGCATGCCAGTGGGTGCAGGTCTGCACTGGGATGCTGTGACTGGCAGCAGAGGTGTGTGTGGTACCTGACAGCACTGCTGATCTCCATCTCTGCCTCCTGCACAGTGACAGGGAGGTGCCAGCTGCCTGATTTCTCCTCCTCTGGCAGCTCCTGCCTGTCAGCTCATCACCCTGGGGATCCCCAGCAGGGAAGGAGCATCTCTCCCTGTTGTCTGCTGTCAGGCAGCTCGCGTGCGCCTGCAGGCACTGGGGACGTGTGGGGAGGCTTCACAGGGGTCACTGCTCTTCCAGGAAAGGCTGCAAGGCTGGGATGGCACTGACTGATCTTGCCTGTCAGCACCAGCTGGGAGGGCAGCAAGAGGTGAAGGTGTTGCCCCGTGGCCCATCCTGAACCCATTCTGAAAGGAGGAGGGTTGCTCAGGGTAGAATCCTCTGGAGCAGAGTTGCTTGGTGTGCAGCAGAGCCAGGAGGCCACGACAGGTGCCCTAAATCATGGGGATGCTCACCTGAGTGGTCGGGTTCCCCAAAACTGAGGGCACCATCCTCTTTGGGGATGATTTTGTGACACCTGGAGCTCTGAAGAGCATCTACATCCCCTGGTTCTTCCAGGTACACCCACTGTCCCCTCTGCCTTGGGCTTGGCCCCATTCCATATCACCTGGGGGTCCCACGTATCGACGTGGCCCCTGCTCGGTGATGGAGTGACGGTGCTGCTGGATCCACCTCAGCCAGGAGAACCTGGCAGGGTTCACACGCCCCACCATGGAGTTCCTTTCCTCACTGAGGAAAACTCCTCCCCCAGTCTCGGGGGGTACCAAAGTGCCCCCACCCCTGGGAAAGGGCTTTTGTGGCCGTGTCGAGGGGGTGGGTTATCCTGGCTCCCAACGTGCGGAGGTGTCCGTGCTCTCACTCTGCACCTGGACATCCTGCAGGACACCTGGGGACAGGGGGACCCCCAGGGGGGTCTCCCCGCCCCTGCTTCGGGCGGAGGAGCGGGTGGCACCGAGCACGGCTGAGGCAGCGCTGCCATCTCGTGGCGCGTCCCGTCGCTGCCGAGCCGACCCTGCCCGCGGCCCCCCGGCCACCTCCCGCTCCCACGGACAGCCCCGTGGGAATCGCAAGGACGGGGATTCTTGTGCTGGCGTTTGTGGTCCTCAGCAGCCTTCGGGACGGCGCCGTGCAGTGCTTACCCACGGCTCCCCGCAGCCGGCACCTCTGGAACCACGGGTGGCAGTTCGAGTAACTTCCCGCTGCCAGAGGACGGGGTTAGGGTTAGATGGGATTTGGGGAAGAAATCCTTCCCTGGGAGGGTGGGGAGGCCCTGGCACAGGTTGCCCAGAGAAGCTGTGGCTGCCCCTGGATCCCTGGAAGTGTCCAAGGTTGGACGGGGCTTGGAGCAACCTGGGCTAGTGGAAGGTGTCCCTGCTCGTGGCAGGGGGTGGAACGAGATGAGCTTTAAGGTCCCTTCCAACACAAACCAGTCTGCGATGTCCCAGCTGCCGATCTGGAGGAGGAGGAGGAGATAGAGGATGGGAGAAGAAAGCTTGGCTTGACCACAGCGACTCTGAAAGTCACACAAGTGGGGCTAGACACTGCTCAGGAGTCTGGAGGAGGGAACCCCTGGAACAAGCACAGCTTCAAGGAGATACTGGAGACCCACAAGCAGCCCCTGTAATTCAGCATTTAAATGGGGTTAAAGGGACAACAGGAGACAAAGGACACGGGAGCACAAGGACCAGCCATCGATCAATCCTGGATGAAATGATGGAGTGGTCTCATTTGGGCTGTATATTAAGAAAGGGCAATGGGGCAGAAATACAATTACTGTCCAGAAGCATCGTTTGGTGGAAGGTAGGTCCTTTCAAACTCACCTGTCATCTTGTCTTGACACGGTTACAGGTCTGGTTGATAGAGGAACTCTGTTGATAAAATAAAATTGCATTTCTTCTGGGCATCTGATTTATTATGGGATGACATTTTGATTAAAAATATGTATTATATTACATTAAGAGGGCATCTATTCAATGAATTAAAGACCAGCTCAGTGACAGATCTCTGGTGGCAATGATCTCAGCGCTGAGCTTTGGTCATTCCCTTTTTCAGCTGTATTAGACATGATGCAACACCTTCCTTGGGACTGCCAGAGGTGGCAGGCAGGGGGGAAAGAAAGGGAGGGTTGCCAGCACCCCTAGGCTTTAGAGCCACCCTAATCCCAGGCCTACTCACTGCCCTCTTTCCTTGGACATTCTCCTCTGAACCCCAGCTCCAGCTTTGGGGACCCCAATGTCCCTTTCTCATGAAGGTCAGTGCAGCTGCCATAGGACACCTGAAAAGACACTCCAGGTGGATATGGATCAGAAAGCCCCTCCTCACAACCCACTGTGTCTCCCCTGGCTGGTCCCCAGGGTCCCAAGGACCCCACGGTCCCTGCTGGGATCATCGTGGTACCTCTCACCACTCACTCCCTGGCACGATGGGGCTTGGGCACTTGTGGCATTTCGGGGCTCATTTTTAGCAGAGCTGAAGGCACATCCCTGGGCTCTTTCCCTGCACTCAGTGGGATGAAATGTTGGTGTTTCATTTGTCCAGTCTCATGAGGCCACACAGCTCCAGAGGTTGCCCAGGTCTGGTTGGTGCAAGGCACAGCCACCCAAAGGGAATTGAGAGCAGTGCCAGACACCCCCTCTACTACAGGCACAAGGTCCCCAAAGCACTGAAGAGAAGGCAGTGGGAAGGAGACCATAGGATCACAGAATATCTTGATCTGCAACAGAACCACAAGGATCATCAGTCCAACTGCTTGGCCCCGCACAGATACCCCAACAATCCCACCCTGTCCCTGAGAGAGCTGTCCAAACACTCCTGGAGCTCTGACAGCCTTGGGGCCATGACCACCACCCTGGGGAGCCTGGGCAGTGCCCAATCATCCTCTGGAAGATGAACCTTTTCCTAATATCCAGCCTAAATGCTCAAGGTCCTGCTGAGCCACACAGGCACTGACATTCCCTGCTCCATCAGGCTGCAGTGCCCAGGTGGGCATCTGGAGGGGTTAGCCCCCAGCAGCCACTATGACAAGGCTGGGTACCAGTGGCAGACACACTCTGCTCATCACCCAGACCAGGAGCCTTCAGAGGTGATCCCTGGCCCCCCTCTGAGCATTCCTTGGCTGGCTGTGACCCCTGGTGCTGTGATCACCTGTCCCCTCCTGCAGGGACAGAGCTGTGCTGTTCCCCTGGACAGCCTCTGGGCACCCTCCACTGTCATGTTGCCTTGTGCCCAGTGTCCACCAGTCCCCGCTGTGGGAGCTGTGCTGCTGGGCCAGGCTAGGTACCCAGCAGTCCTGCACTCTTGCTGACCAAGCTGTTTCCAGCACAGCCAGAGTCAAGCGAGGAAAGGGGAACAAAGTTCTTTCTCATACAGAGAAAGTGAAACTCGACACATGCCTTCCCTGACTGGGCAAACCACCGTGTGTGCAAAGACATCCTCCCCCCCTGCTCCTCTTCCTCCCTGTTCCCAGGGAAGAGCTTCCAGCAAGCTGAGCTGCTGCTCACTCTGGTCTGTCTTGACCCCCTGCACCGAGGTAAGTCACCCCAAAGAGCAGGGGACACACTCCTCCTCTGCCACCACTCTCCTGACCTTGCTCCCTCTCCTCATTCTTTCTTCACATTCCCCCTCCACAGGAGTTTAAAGTAGGAAAATGGGAGGAGATGACACAAGGGTGGGGGGAGCTGCAAGAATCTGTCCTGGGCTCTGCAGGCTTGTCCCAGGCTGAGTACCTCAGGTTTTGAGATAGGTGTTGTGTGCTCAGGGTGTCTCTCCGTTCTCCCAGCTCTGTGTGTTGGAGATTTGGATCCCATTTTCCTGTTTTCCCCTCCCTGTCATGTCTCTTTGCATCCTTTCTTCCCTTGTGTTCTCTGTCCCATGGAACCACGGCCCTGTACATCACTGCTTCTCCCTCAAAACTGCACTAAACATCCTCTACATGCATTTGAGGAGCCACGACCCATCCCCGGGACATGCAGCCATCCTCTACATCCTGGGTTTTTGCTGTCGTCTACATCTCAGGCTTTCTAATCCCACAGTCCTGCCATGGGCATGTCAGAGATTGTCATTGACTTCTGTTATGTCTGATCACACAAGGAAACACCTCCAAAACCCTTCTAGGAAGCTGTTTCCACCACTGCATGCAGAGTCTGGTGAATTGTACCAAACAAGTGCTGAGAGCAGTTGCATGTCCGTGTCCAAGATCTGTGTGTTTGCCTCCATCCCCAATTCCCCACCCTTTTGCTTGTAGGAGGCAGGATGCAACCCGAATTTTGGCTGGGGATCAGCACCCTGGCAGCAGTGCTGAGCACAGCCATGCTGGAGAATGGATTCTGCCGGGCACCAGATGGCAAGGATGGCTTCCCTGGAGTCCCTGGCCGTGATGGGAGGCCAGGGCAGAAGGGTGACATGGGAGAGCCAGGTAAGGGGAAGCCTGAGATGCCCAGTGTGGGGAGCCTGGGAACCTCTTGATAGGGGCATTCCAGGCTGTGGGAGCAGCTTGGGAGATGCTGGATGTGCACCAACCGCTCCTCTTCACCACCTCTCCCCAGGGAAATCAGGGCCAAGGACGGGCATCCAGGGACCCAAAGGGGATGCAGGTGAACCCGGCCCTCCTGGCATTCCAGGGGACCGAGGCCTCCCTGGCCTCCCTGGCACCATTGGGATGCCAGGGCTGCCAGGGCTCAAGGGGGAGAAGGGGGTACCCGGCAATACCCTGGAGCAGCCGCGCCCTGCCTTCTCCGCCTCGCGGAGGTCCCCGCCATCCATGGGCAGGACGGTGGTGTTCGACAACATCATCACCAACGAGGAGAACTCCTACAGCCCCCAGACGGGGCAGTTCACCTGCCGCATCCCCGGGCTCTACTACTTCGCCTACCAGGTGGTCTCCAGCGGGGACCTGTGCCTGAGCATCACCAAGAACAGGGAGGACGTCGCCAGCTTCTGCGACAACAACAGCGTCGGCATCCTGCAGGTGAACTCGGGCAGCAGCGTCCTCAGCCTGGCCCCGGGCGACCAGGTGTCCGTGACCACCAACCCCGCCCTGGGCAGCTCCATCTACAGCGGCTCCGAGGCAGACAGCGTCTTCAGCGGCTTCATGCTCTTCCCACAGACAGGCTGAGGGGCCCCCAGGGCATCGCGGGGGGTCTGTCTGCGTGGGTGATCCCCCTGTGGGTGTGGGATGGTTTAGTGCCACAGCACGCCAGGATGGCCCCAAACTGAGCGTGCAGATGGGTCCTGTGCTTCCACCAATGTCACAGCTGGCCAGGCCGTGGGTCCCCAGCGCAGCAGTCACCTCTGTGCTGAGCCTGCCCACTCCATCCTGGAGGCAGTGGACTCTCATCCCTTTCTCCTCCTGGGCATTCATACCTCACTCCGGCGGGTCCCAGTTGTCACTGGCTGTGGCTCTTTGCTCCTGGGTGGGAAATCACTGCCTGCCACTGCTTCTGCTACACTAACCACTGTAAATGCCTTCCTGGCACTGGCACACATTCTCTCACATCCTCCCCACCAGTATAAATAAACCCTTCTTTCACCATATCTCTTTGAGTTTTCTTTTCTACTCATGCAATCTTCCCCAAACCATGAATATCCTGGATCCCTCCCCAAACTGTCCAGGGAGAGAAGCGATCCCAGCTTGTCCCTGGCACTGCATAGAGAGGACAGGAGGGAATGGAGTGTCCAGTCAGAGTTGACACTTACAGGAAGGAATGCTGGGATTGGGCTGTGTGTGTCCTTCTCTGCTGAGCCCAAGGCAGCTGTCCTGCAAGGGAAAACACAGGCAGCAGGTCGTGCACCTCACCAATGTGGCCCCTGTTAGTACCCAAACTCTCCTAGGAAGAGGAAAGGCAGCTGTGGTCCTCTGGCCTTACAGCAAGGAGGGACAGGGATATCAGGGTGACTGATGGGGTTGTGGGGTGTTGGTGGTGGAGTTGTGAGGGCCTTGGGGTGAGATGAGTGGGAGGTACAATAAGCTGGGCACGAATCGGACAGCTGGGAAGCATCAGGGAAGACACATAGGTGCCATACCCTGGGTCTGCTCCTCAGGGGAGCTACTGCACACACATTGGGCACTCAAATGTCTCCGTTCCTGGAGCTGTGAGGAGGAGGTCAGGTCACTGAGTGGAGCGACACCCTGACAAGGGATGCTGGGGCCTCACAAAGTCCAGCACCCAGCAGAACTGGTGGAGCACAGTGGAAGGTGCAGGTCAGAAACTCTCAAGGAGAAACACCCTCCAGTCCCATTTAGGGGTGCAGCATCTTCCATCAGAGCCCAGCAGCGACCTCGCACCAGCCCTTCAGTGTCACAGGCATCTCTAGCCCAATAGAGTTGGCCTGAGGCTCTGCTCTCCACGCTCAGAAACAAGTGAAGCAAAGGGGAATGCAGGTGATTTCGGGGGGGGCCAGTCCCCATGGAGGCTTCTGAGGGTGGTGGCACATCTTTTGGCAGAGTTTTGTCCCACTTCTGTCCTTCCAGCCCTTCCTGTTGCAGTGGCACGAGTGCAGGTCTCACTAGACAGCCAAGAAAGTGCTCGCTCAGCAGAAACAACCAGGCAGAAGGATGTGAAACTCTGCTGGGAACAGCTGGGGGTTCTGGGTTCCCAAGGGCCTTTCCCAAATCTGCAGCTTCCTCCGTGGGGGTGACAGGGATTGTCACTGTGCAGTGACTGCCGCGGCCAGAGGGACCAGCAGCACAGGGTCCTGTCCCCTGCTCCCCACCAGAGGTAAGAGGTGCTGCAGGGTCCCTGTGTCTAGGGTGGGCTGCAGGGGGCCTGGGGGTCCAGCAATGTGGCCCAGTGCTGTGAGGAGGATGTGGATGTGAGAGGAGGAGGAGGAGGAGGAGGAGGGGAAGGAGACAGGCACTGCTGGGCTGCACACATGTCATGGATGCACCAGCAGATAGAAGTAATCAACCCGAGGGACAGAGCCAAGACAGTGAGGCTGCTGCTGGAGGGGGAATGAGATCAGCTGGGTCCAGGGAGCTCCAGCCTTGGTGCAGCACAGTGTGGCAGTCCACAGTGGTGTGTGCATCACCAGGGGCTTGGACACTGGACTGGGAGGACTTGGAGCTGGCCGTGGGTACCACAGACCTCATGGCTTCATCCAGACTGGAAGTCCAACCCAACTTGTGCCATCAGTGACTGCCCTGGGGTTGGTGATGAGCACAGGGCCCATCTCCACGTATCCACCTCCCCACTGCCTGGCAGTTGGTAGGGGTGGGACACTGAGGGCACACTCATGGGACCCAGGAGCTCCTGATGCAGCCAGCCTCCTTTTCTCCATGCCCTGGAAGCCACCCTGCCATGGCCCCTCAGTCCAGCATTTCTTTCCCTTTGCATGCTACAGAACCAAAATGGAGCAGAGATTCTGGGAGCAGCTCAGTCTGGCCCTCACCCTCCTCCTCCTGCATGTGGGCTCTGCTGTGAATGAAGATATCCCTCTCAACTCCTATGGAGTTCCAGGCCTGCCAGGAATGCCGGGTATGCCAGGCAAGGATGGCCGGGATGGACTGAAGGGAGCCAAAGGGGAGCCAGGTGAGTGAGAAATGAGGGAAACCAGCATTGAGGCCTCCATGGCTGGTCTGCCTTGGTTTGCAGGCTGGGGAGAGCACCCTCTGTGGTCAGGCTGGAAAGAGGCAACAGCACTCTCCTGCCCAAGGGAAGGGGCTGGAGAAGAAGCCTCTCCCCACATCCTGCTATTGACACCGACTCCCTTTCACTCCCCACTACCCCGCAGGTATCCCAGCTCCTCCTGCAATGCAAGGGCCCAAGGGCATGAAAGGGGAACCGGGCAGCCCTGGCTTGCCAGGCAAGAAGGGTCCCGCTGGCCTTCCTGGTCCCGCTGGAGCCCCTGGGGTGATGGGCCCGCGTGGAGAGCCAGGAATGCCAGGCAGCTACAAGCAGAAGCACCAGTCAGCGTTCTCAGTGACGAGGCAGACCAAGGAGCACCCCTTGAAGAACGTCCCTGTGATTTTCAACCACGTCATCACCAACACCAACCACGACTACAACACCACCACGGGCAAGTTCACCTGCAAAGTCCCCGGGCTCTACTACTTCGTCTTCCACACCTCGCAGACAGCCAACCTCTGCACCATCCTGCACAAGAACCAGAGGAGGATGGCCAGCTTCTGTGACCACAAGACCAACACCATGCAGGTCAGCTCGGGGGGGCTCCTGCTCCACCTGGCTGCTGAGGACCAGGTCTGGCTGGGAGTGAATGACTACAACGGCATGGTGGGCATCGCCAACTCTGACACCATCTTCTCAGGGTTCCTGCTCTTCCCAGACTAGAGGGTCACCAGAGCCCACCCCAGCACCCTGACTGCTTCATCCTGCTCCAAACACACTGCTCACTGCCAGGCTGCTGCTGACACTCCCAGTTTCTCTGCTGAGTGGGAAGCCCCAGTGAGGGCATCACCCCCCAGACACAATCCCTCAGTGTGGGGACTGAGCATTGGCAGCTGCTGAACAGGGGGAACAGGCACATCTGGATGCATCTGCACCCAGAGTGATGGTGCTGAGCCCCCTGTCCCACTGGCACTGCCTTATAACCCCACCCGATAACCCGACATTACCTCAGGGGTCTCTCTGCCTCTCTCCCCTCCCCACCTTGGTTGCCCCAGGTTCAGCCAGGTGTCCCGGGGCTGCAGCAGCCCCTTTGCCATGACCTGGCTGTGGAAAGTGTCAATAAATCCTTCCCCAGTGCACCTGGTATAGTGTGTTGTCTCCTCCATGACTTACCTTTCTGCAGGTAGAGCCTGATGGATATGGTGACGGATGTGTGTGTGACATCTGGACATCTGGGTGGCATCAGCAAGTCCCTGAGCCCTTGCTGTGCTCAGCATCAGTGACATCACACACCATCCACACCCAGGCTCGGGGTGGGGTGAGGGTACGACCCCTGGCTGCACTGCCTGCAAGAACGGGATGGTTTCTTTGCCCCCACGCAGGCCCCACCAAGGGAGGACCAAGACTCCTCCAAGTAGGGCCCCTGCTCCTCCCCTTTCCCATCAAAGTGGAAGCAATCCAGCTGCAGATGGGCACAGACCACGCAGCAAACCCCACTGACACGCCACTGAGGGGGGGATATCCCCGGGGTCCCAGCCCTGCCAGGGACAGAGCTCTGCTTCCCTGACCCAGACCAAAGGAGTTCATGGCTGTGCAGGCTGCAGAGCCCACCAAAACTCAATGGGGACTCCTCCTGGTGGCACACATTGTAGGGTGGAACAGGTCATATCCCAATGTCCTGCGCTTCACCTGCGCAAGGCAGCAGGGGAAAGCAGGCCTGGGAATGCTTTTCCCGCAGGGTAAAATCACTTCCCACACACAACATTTAGGAGAGCCTGGGGCACATATTCAGGATGATGGATGCCAAGGCCCTGCAGCATCCCCTGGGTCTGCCAGAACCTCCCAGCAGAGCTGGGAAGGTGCGGAGCAGCCTGAGGGAGGTTGGCTGAACGCACGCACAACTCTGCGGCACCGATGGGTTCCCCCAAACCTGTCTGGAGCTCAGGTCAGTGTTCTTCTGAGCAGGGGAGGGGGCATCTGAGCAGGACCCAGGGACCCTGCAGGACAGAGCTGTACTCTGGGGGGGCCTGGGGTGCTGTTTGGGGGTGCCTTGTTCTGCTGAGCTGGCAGAGACCATTCGTGGAGGATGTGAAACTGCCACGGACAAAAGGGCAGGAGCTAAAGATTAAAAAATGGGATGTGTCCCAGATCCTTTCACAATAACTCCTGCAGCCAACTTCTGCTTCTCCTCGCAGGCATTTCCAAGCAGGACGCTGGTGTGTCCCACTCCATCTCCCTACCCAAGCAACAAGGAGTTCAAGGTAAGAGCAGGGCTGAGCCCCAGCCCCCCACACAGGCAGGAGCACGTGGAACACCTGGTCTCGGGAGGGTGACAGTCACCTGCACCCCTGGCACTTCCCTGTGGCTTGGGGCAGTAGAGAAAAGGGGTGGTGGGTATGCTGGGTGGGGATGGTGGAGATTTCTGGTGGGACCCCAACCTCTCCTGCTCCACCTGGGAGAAAGGAGAACATGAAAGGGGAGATTGCAAAGTCCCAGAGGGGTGATCAGGGACTGGGCATCAGTCTGAAAGGTGCCCTGGGTGTGGTCTCCTGCTCTTAGATGCTCTGGTCATGTGATAGACCTGGGCTAGGAGCCTGTGAATTCATCCTGTCACATCCAAATTGGACCTGCCGTGGCTGGAGAATCCAACTCACCAACCTCTTGTCCTGCTAGCATCAGAGTTTCAGTGCTGGGAAAGTCCACCTGAGGCTAGAGGGCATGGTTGGGGTAATGTGTAATACAGCCCCCAAATGCCAGGTGCTTATCCACAGGCATCCACACCAGGACCTGGGGGAAGGAGCTGAGTTGTGGGATACAGGGAGGGCAGAAGGAATGTGAGACCTCAGGGACTGGAAACCCAAATGACTGTCCCAGTAATACTGTTTAGGTACAGAAATGCCTCTGGGATGGAGCAGCCATGTGGCAGGACACAAGGGGAAGCTGCAGGGTGCAGGGGAAGGTTTGGGGATTCATTGCCATCTTCGAGGACCAACGCTGTCCCTCAGACCTGCTGGTGGAAGGCAAAAACCTTCCCCTTGCAGATGATGAAACTGCCCTGGCTGGAGGAAAGATTGTCCCCTGCAGGTGTGGTCCTGAGATGGGATGAGGAATTTCTCCCCCCAAGGGAGCAGCATGGCCAGGCTGGACATCAGACCTCTGGGATAACCTGTCCCAGATAGTCATGTGGCTGAAGCTGTGGGCACTTGCAAACTGGGAATTTAAGATGACCAGAGACTGACAATCTCTGCCTCGCCCAAAGGGACTGGTCCTTCCCTCCAAGGCCATCAGGACAGCAGATTTGGCTCCATAGTAGGATGTTTTCCCTCCCTGATGATATTACCCAGATGTGCTTCCAGTCACCATCCTTCAGAGTAGCATAGAGTGCCCTCCCCAACCCTCCCACCACCCAGGCAAGCCCCTCCACACCCTTCTGTGCCCCTGCAGATGTGGATTGTGTGGGTGATGCTGATCTGCCTGGCTGAAGGGCAGCTTGCCAGTGCCACACTCTGCAAGACCTACGGCACCATCCCAGGCATCCCAGGGTCACCAGGACGACCTGGCAGCAATGGCAGAGATGGGGAGGATGGCCCAAAGGGCGAGCAAGGTAAGGAGGAGGCTGCAGGTGGGGAAGACAATCATCTTGTGAATGCCAAGAGCAGGAAAAAGCAGAACCAGGTACGTGGTCCTGGGAAAGCAATCCACTTTCGCCAGTTCCTTTGAGGTGTTGTCAGGTGGGGGTGATGCTCAGGGACAGAAGGGACTGGACAGACTGGAGCTCACCAAGGAACCTGGGGAGGGAGGGTGAACAACAGCAAGTTTTCAGTGCTTGCAATGCTATTTTTGCATTCTTTAGCTCCTGTGCAGTTTCCACTTTCAGCTTGTCGATATTAAGAGTGTTTCACTGGCAACTACAGACAGAAGCTGTTTCAAAGCTTCTACTTTAAGCATTGTTTAGAGGACATCCCACTAGTTTCTTCCTGAACTTGTTTTTGTTCTTTCACAAATTTCTGTAGATTTTCTACATCTTGACAGATTACTGGAGGTAGATTTTCATCCTGTCACACCTGCCAGTTGGGCAGGGGTCTGACCCGCATTGCGTGCAGGTTTCCTTCCCCAGACTCCCTCTGCAGACCTGTGGGGCTCAGCTGTGACCACAATGACTCTTCTTCCTGCTTCCTAGGACCTCCTGGTCGGGCGGAGCATGAAGGAGACCTGGGGGAGAAGGGAGACCCGGGAGAGCCAGGGCACCCGGGGAAGGTCGGCCCCAGGGGCCCACCAGGTGCCAGGGGAATACCAGGTCTCAGCGGATTACCCGGCCCGCCTGGGGACGCTGGAGACTACCAGGCCACCCTCAAGTCTGCCTTCTCGGCTGCCAGGAGCATCAGCACCTACCCCCGCCGGGAGCAGCCCGTCCGCTTCGACCGCGTCGTCACCAACGAGAGGGGCCACTACGAGAACCGCTACGGCCGCTTCCTCTGCCGCGTCCCCGGCATCTACTACTTCACCTACCACGTCACCTCCAGGGGCAACCTCTGCCTCAGCTTCAAAAAGGGACGCGGCGGCAGCAGGGGGGAGAAGGTGGTGACCTTCTGTGACTACGTGCACAGCAGCTTCCAGGTCACCACGGGCGGCGTGGTCCTCAAGGTGGCAATGAACGAGTCTGTCTGGCTGGAGCCGTCGGAGAAGAACTCCCTGGTGGGGATCGAGGGGTCCGACAGCATCTTCTCCGGCTTCCTCATCTTCCCTGAGGCTTAGCCCGCTGGAGGTGTCTCTGCAGCCCCCTCTGCAGGGCTGGGGACTCCCCTGCAAATGACTCTTGGCTCCCGGATCGGTGCCCCAAGTGCATTGTTGCCATTCCCGCCCATTAAATGACAGCTTTTTGCGTTGTTGGTTCCTTTCTGCCTCGGATTTGCCTTTTTTCCCCCCACATAATGTTCACATACCCAGGGCATTGCTTCCCATCCTCCTGGTGCAGCCCAGGCTTATTAGGATCTCATCACTGCTGAGCAGAGCCAGACAACTCATGCAGTTCCTGCTGCACACCAGGCTGAGGATCACCTTCCAAGACACCCAGAGAGTCCCAGCCTAGGGTTAGGAAAACATGGAGAGGCAGCCTGGCCTCTAGCAGGGGACAGGACACATGACATAACTGGGGCCACTGGGTACTGATGGTAGATGGGAAGATGCTGCAGATGGTGCTGTACTGGAGAATCCTGACAGTGGCAGGATCTGGGAACCCAATTTCTCTTAGACTTTTTTTTTCGGGTGGTGGTGACAGAAATATGCACAGGAATTTGTCAAATCTTGTGATAATGTGTGTGTGACAAGGGCAGTTTGATGCCATGATGGGAGTGGTTTGGAACACACAGCTACGCCCACACAGCCCCAAAACCCCAGCAGAGAACTGACACACACATGTCCTGCAGCACAGCCAAGTCCTCCCTGAGATCTCATTAACAGTAGAGCTGATGGACTCAAAGACATCCAAATGAATTAAAGCTGAGCAACCCAATGACATCCCCGGCATGGGGCAGGTGACAACCCAGTGTTGTACCTGGGTGGTGAGTTGTCTGCAGACCTCAACCCAGCTCACGGTGGACACGGGACGTTCAGGAAGTAGAAAAGAGAATTTTTGTGGGAGCGTGGGGCTGGATGGAGAGGATGACGATAAAGGGTCTTAGGGAGGTGGGTGCGATATGGACTGGATTTGTGGAGCTCTCCGCGCCTGCTTGTAAGTCCAGAGGGCCCCCCGCAGCTCTGGGATGCTCAGGTGTCCCTCTACCAGCGCAGGACAGTGACTGACGCCGTTGTGACTAGCTTAGAGGCTCCTGCTCGTGTCCGGGGTGATTTGCCGGCAGGTGGCACTGGAGACTGGCTCAGCCCTCACCCAGCAGCAGGACCATGCTCGTCCCGCCGGCTGGGCGGGCACAGCTCCAGGGGCCGGCTCAGCTCTGCCCGTAAAGTCTGGGAGGAGGCAGCGGGCGGGATCAGGGAGTCTCCCCTTTCCAGCCTAGTCCATACCTCCTCCTTCTCCCCACATCGCTGCTTCATCCTTCCTGCAGCAAAATTTGAGGCTGCAGGACACGGCCACCCGTGTCCCCAGACCTCTGCTCCTCTCAGAAGGTCGGGGCAGAGGTGTTGGGTGTCACGACTCGAAGTTCTCTCGGTGCCAGAGCCCTGGTGGCTTTTAAAACGCAGCCACAACACTCAGGGTGTTTCACAGCTGGAGATGTAGCATCCCACCAAAAATCGGGACAGCAGGACATGGTAAGAAGGACAAGAGCAATCCCCAAAACCGAGCTGGGCTACATTGAACACCAGCTCCATCTCCTGCCAGGAGACACTGAACCAAGGAGCAGTGGATGTACAGTGGATGTTCTGCCATTCCAAGAGCCCTAACAGGCTGGAAAATGAGCTGGCAGGAGCCCACTGACATTTAATGCCTTCTTCTGGCATGGGATAACCCCATGTGATAGGACAGGTGTGGGCAAGAGGAAGCTTCATCTGGGATGCTGTTGGACACCAAAACTTTGATCCAGGTCTGCTCCCAAACCTCCCCACCCTGCTTTGAGGTCCAAAATTCATTCATAGAACATGGAGCAATTCTGGAACAACAACACAACGATTAACAGGAGAGCTGGAGAGAAACCTGTGCAGGGTCAGGTGTGGTGGGTGATAAGGGCAGATCAGGGCAGTGCAACGGTCGCTGATCCTCAGGAAAGGGACAATTTACATATTTAATTAATTCCTCACACCTTCCCCACGAGCATCTGAGCCCAGCACACTCCAACCCTGCACAGCTGCACCGCAGGAACAGACCTGCAGTGTCTGTCCTTACAGAAACACAGAATTACAGAGTCATCCGTGTTGGAGAAGACCTCTGAGATCATCAAGTCCAACCTTTGACCCAACACCACCTTGTCAACTTGACCACGGCACTAAATGCCACATCCATATTCCTCTTAAACACCTCCAGAAATGGTGACTCCACCCCCTCCCTGGGCAGCCCGTTCCAGTGTCCGATCACCCTCTCTGTAAAGAATTTCTTCCTAATGTCCAACCTAAACCTCCCCTAGTGCAGCTTAAGACTGTGCCCTCTTGTCCTGCTGCTGGTTGCCTGGAAGCAGAGCCCGACCCCCACCCAGCTCCCCCCTCCTGTCAGGGACTTGTAGAAAGTGAGAAGGTCTCCCCTGAGCCTCCTCCTCTCCAGGCTGAACCCCCCCCCAGCTCCGTTGGCTGCTCCTCCCAGGACTTGTGCTCCACATACCCACGTTCCTGCACATCCACGTCGCTCTGTGTGTGCTCACACGGTGCACCCTCCCCCCTGTGCACGCTCCCCCCGTCCCTCAAACGCCCCCTCTGCTCCGTGTGTGCTCTGCAGCTCTGCCCTGACACGCCCATTCTGCTCCTCTTCGCTGCCTTCGGAGTTTATTTTCAGGGTGGCCGCGGTGCCTCCCCATGGCCCAGCCACAGCCTGTCACGAGGAGGTGCCGTGACCCTCACCTGTGCACAGGCTGAGCCCACCAGATGCTCAGCAGATGCTGAAGTTGGGGCAGGAGGTATTTCAAGGTGACTTGGGGAGTTTTAGGGTTTGTCAGTGTTTTGCCAAGCAGCTTGTGGGGTGCTTTGGTCTGTCGGTGCTGGAGGGGAACAGAGAGGGAAACAGGAGCACAGATGTGGGCAAAGACTGGTAGAGCTGCCAGGGTTTTAAAATAAAATCTTCCTGTTTCCAGGCACAGAGCATCAAGGATCAACAACAGAGACCAGCAAGAAAACCAGGTGGAGGTTTCTCCTGCATCATCTGTGGGGGCTTGGAAGTTTCCTCTGTGCCAAAGCTCCAGAGGCAGGACTTTGGCAGGATCTGATGCAGTGGAGAATCCATCGTGGCTGTCAATATTTGTGGAAATGAAGCTGAGCTGGACACATGAAAGCACGACTGTGTTGTTTGTCAGCGAGATTGAGGCAGTGATGTCAGTCCCACAGTCTGGTCTAACACCACCAGTAAATGCTGGGGAGCCTGCAAAGGTGTTGATCTGTTTGCACCTGAGCCCATGAGTTCCTAGTACCTGCTGCTCAAGGAAGAGCCCTTCCTAAACCATCCTTGCTTGGCCTTGGTCCTTGCTGGAAGCATCAGCCACAGCCAGGCTGCCCAGCAGGGCCTCCTGGAGCAGTCCCCCATGCAAGCCCCTCCAACCAGCCCTTCTCCCATGCAGCTTGTGACACTGCTCCCAGATACAGGGAGGCTTTTCCCTTGCCAGCAGCTCCCTCCTGAAAAACCAGCTCTGAGGTACAGTCTCCTCTCCCCTTGGGCCAGACTGTGTAGTGAAATACAGGGGAGGAGGGATTGTGTTTTTCCTTCCCTCCCATTCTCCAAACCATAATATCAAGCAGGAGCTGTATGGGAGTATGGGAAGATCTGTATGGGTTCAGTGCTGTACCAGGATGCTGGAATGCTTTTGGCAGAGGCATTACTGGGACAGGCACTGGACTGTGCCTGCTGGCATGTTGCAGACAGCAACAGGACACAGCAGCACCAACTCAGGTTTGGTGGTTACTGGGGTCACACATGTCACACTTCATTGTCAGCAGGGCAGGAGCTCCCTCCATGGATCCTCTGGGTGCACTGGCTCCACTGGAGGGTGGTCCCAACCCCAGAGGGACTCTTGTGGAGTTTGATACAGCAGGGACCAGTCTGGGACAGGGAAGAGTGTTCAGACACCAGCTCCTACCTCAAATCTCACCTCAGGGCTGTTGTTTGTTTTCCCCATCCTCACTCAGGCTTGGATTTGAATTTGAATGGGAAGGAGCAATTACTTCTTTTGCCTGGAGCAACACAGCCTGGCTTGTCTCCGCTCTGAGCTGTGCAGGGAACTCCTGGTTTTCCTGGCCCCTCTGCAGGGACCGGGAGCTGGGAGCCTCTGCGCTGGACTGGACACCAAGGGGTTAAATCCCAGCCCTGTTTTTTCTGCTCTGCCTCCTTATGAGGAACAGCCTTCGCAGGGCTGCAGAAAGGCTCTTTCTTTCCCCAGCAGATCTCTGGGAATGAAAAGTCTGTGTTCCAGATATTAAATTACTCATAAAATAGTTGGCCTGTCCCCGAGGCGGCTCCGCACCCCCCCAGCCCCCGCCGCCGCTCTGACGGGCTGCTGATGTGCATCTGCATGTCACCTCCTGCTACAAGGTCAATCTCTCCAATTTAAAGCAGCAACGTTCGAAAGCGAACCAGATTTCAGCCGGAATTAGCTTCAAATGGAGCATTCAGGGGACTCGTGCTGGGAGGGGAGCGCAGGAGGGGAAGGACCAGCAGAACCGGCTGGGGGGGTGGGGGCGGTCCTGCGGCTGCAAACCCCCGTGGTGGGGCACCCAACGCACCTCGGGGTCCGTGGAGGGGCTGGGATGCTGCCAGAGCCGCGGGGATGCTGCCGGGGACCCCTAACGCTGCTCAGTGGGGTGGATGTGGGCGGGGACGGGGGGAAGGGCTCAATCCCTCTCCCCTTCGCAGCTTTGGAAGCCTCGGCAGGAGCCCCTGGGTGTCGGGGAGCTCCCCTCCCCCTCGGACAGCCCCCCTCGCCCCCCTGGACCGGCGCGGCCATCGGTGACCTACAATCGGGCACGGGTGCGAGGCGGGGCGGCGGGGCCGAGGTTTCCATGGGGATGTGCGGGATGGGAAGCCTGGCCTGGTTCAGCTCCAGGCACAGCTCTCCTGGATGTCGGGGCTCGGCTCCTTCCGCTCCGCTTCCCGCTGCCTCCTGCCCTCCTGCGCCCGGCGCGGCGGTGGGAGGGGATGCGGGAGGGGATGCGGGAGGGGATGCGGGAGGGGATGCGGGAGGGAGCGGCGGGAGCACGGCTTGGCCCTGCCTGGTCCGCTACATGTCCTTAACCCCTTGGGGGATGCACCGCAATGAACTCAGCTCAATGGTTAATCCAAACAGTGGTTTGTCCCCCACCCATTGGGACTGGGTGCCCGCGGGGATGCTCTGCCGTGATGGGGATGCTCTGCTGCGATGCAGGACCAGGTTCTTGGCAAAATCCCAAAAGCAATGCTGGAGATGTTGACAACGCAGGTCTGGGAGAGCCCCACACAGTCCTGCTCTCCTCCCCAGAGGTTTTCTCTGTTCTGCAAGAAAAAGGAAAGGCACACTTTTTTTTTCTTCCACTACTGGCTCCTGGCAGTAACTGAGACTGGGGACAAATCAGTCACACACACCCCTCCCCAAATGCCTCAGTTCCCCCACAGGGAGAACAGCCCTGCTCTGCTCTATATCCTGTTCTACCCTCCTCGCTGGAGGGGTTTCAGCCCTCGGTTTGCCGTGACCTCACCCCTGTGAGGCTGAGACAAGCCCCCAGCCCCAGCCCGTCACATGTGGACCCATGTGCCTCACACGAGGCTCGGCTCCCGTGAATTATCAAGCAGGGCAGGCACAGGCACCAGCACAAACCACACAAACAGAGCACCACACTCCTCCAGCACGCAGGGCCAGAGCCATGCCCAGGCTGGGCAGGCAGTACCAGCGGGCAGGAGACCAGGGCTGCTCTCAACAACCTCATGCTGCCCTTAAATCTTGTATTTACACACAGAGGGGAAAAAAAACCTGAAGCAAGGCAGCTTGAAGCCCACAGCACAGCAAGACGTGGACATGTGCATAAGGAGGGTCCCTGGGTAACTGCGTGCAGCAGGCACGGACACATACCTGGAATTCCCATCTGGCTTGTGAACAAGGAATATCTGTGAGCCTGCAATCCTGGCTGCCTGGGAAAGAGCAGGGGCTGGAGCTCGGGGATGAGTGCTCGGGTGGCAGCTCCCCAGGGCTGTGTGGTGCTGCCCAGTGCTCCCTTCTGTTCCCATTGTGTGCCGGGATAGCTTTTGTCCGGGGATGTTGGCGTGTGCAGTCACCAAGGTGACGGGAACAGCGGCGGGTCAGCGGCAGCACTTCCAGAGGAGCTGGGAGAGAACTGGACAACCCTGAACATCCTGGGGGGAAACTGGACAGCCCTGCACATCCTGAGAGGGAACTGGGCAGCCCTGCACGTCCCTGAGTGAGTGATTCTTGTGGATGCACACTCACCACAGACTGCACAGCCTGGTATCCTCTGCTGTGTGAGGTGACCCTGTGTCACACATCCAGCCCTGCAGCCTGGATGTGTGTCCATGAGGGGTGTCCATGAGGGCTGGGCAGAGGGTCAGGCTTTGGGAACATGAGGGGTTTGTGCACAGTTTTGGCTCCTGCAGAGCCCCAGGCTGTACATGGCACCAGGCAGCAGCAGTTGGAAGACCCCAGCATCCATTGAGACCTGGGCTCTGCTCCTGTCACGACGCCTGGGATCTGCAGAGCACCAGGGTGGTCCTGCCACTGGTGTCACCAGCTGCCTGCAGTGGAGCATGGTCCCTCAGGATGTGGGGGAAGAGCATGGGTCACGCTGGATGTCTCCTCCCTGGAGAAAGGCAAGGATCAGCTGGCCCTTCCTAGCCCTGGATGCTCTCCTGTGGCAGGCTGGGCGGCCAGGAGTAGGTGACCTTCTGTCTTTAACATCCATGTGGATCCACTACAACTGCTCCAACGCCTGCATCCTCAGGCTCAGGATGAGGTTGGGCAGTTCTGCCTTTGTCCTTCAGTCTCCTCCTCCATCACACGTGTCCCTCAGGCCCATGGAAAGCAAGGAGCTGAAGCTGTAGGTGCTTTGCTAACAGCAGTTCATACCTGCATCCTCACTGAGCAGGGAAAGAGGGGAAAGAAAAGCCTTTTTGGAGGAGAAACAAATGCCAGGACAGTTTGGGAAATGCTGTAGCACCTTTTGCCTTCCCAGCTCCAACATGCAGCCACCAATGGCTGTCCCAAAAGGCAATGGAGGTGGATGCTCCTGCCATTTGCCAGACTGGGACCTCAGGAGAGGATACAGAGCATGAGTGAGAAGGAAGAGGTGAGTTGAGGGTTATCCAGGAGGCTTGTCCTCCTCCTTTGGACAGGCTTATTCATGTTCTCACATGTTCTGTCTCTATTTTGTCAGTCTTTCCCCCTTGTTTTCTTTTCCCTCTAGTCAAATCAATTACTGGAACATTGGATGTGCCTGAACATTGTGCATTGGTGACCCCAAGGACCTCTACCCAGAGCATCTGAGCACCGTGAGCCTTGGCAGAAGGAAGCATCTCCAGTTTACTATTAACACATTTTGGTCTCTGTGGCTCTGGGTTCAATGCATTTCATTTTTAAAGGCAGTTTTGGTGCTGGGTTTTCCTCATTTTTTTCCTGCCAACATTAAAATGCGGGTGGGTTTTTCCTTGATCCTGGTTTTGCTGTGGCATTGCTTGTGTCTAGGAGTGCTCACAGGGACTGAAGTTGCTGTCACAGGAGACGAGGAATGTCATCCCAGGTTTCCTGTCGCAATTTTCAGACATCCAGCTGAAGATCAACATCCAGCTCAATGCGTCGGGTTCAGCTGCACGTCTGGCTGCTCACAGTGTGGCACAGCCACTTGGCACAACCACTTGGCACAGGCTGCGAGGTTCAGTGGAGGTTACAGCTGCTCTGGCTCTGTGGAGGACCACCAAAGCCACACCCTGCATCTGTATTTCTGGTCTCTTTGCCCTGCTGTCAGTGTGGTCCTGAAGTCCTCATTCCCTGGTGCATCTACAGGTGTATCCTTCCCGTACGCCCTGTGTGCCAAGTCATAGAATCCCAGAATGATTTGGGTTGGGGGGACCTTAAAATCCACCTTGTTCCATGTCCTTGCCATGGGCAGGGACACCTTCTGCTATCCCAGGTTGCTCCAAGCCCCATCCAACCCGTCCTTGGACACTTCCAGGGATGGGGCAGCCACAGCTTCTCTGGGAAACCTCTTCCAGCGAAGCCAAGGTGATCTGCAGCAGAAGGTAGGCTGTACCAGAGGGAATTTAGGCTCCATGGTCTCTTTTGCCAGGGGACAACATCCATCAGCTATCAGCAGCTCATGGTCCAGCAGTGTGGATGGTCTGGTGCGTAGTAAACAGTAAGAAATTGCACTGAAACCCTGCAGTGGGGACATTAATGACCAACCTCTCCCGTGTGTGCTCTCCAGAGTGGGTTTTCCATCGTCTGGTGAGGTATGGAAACTCTTGCCAACACCTTAGTTAAACACTGAGCAGCCCAGGCTGTTATTTAACCTCAACCAACCCATCATCCCCCTGCCAGGGCCACCTTAGGTCCTGGGGGCCACCTCAGCTGGGATGAGATGCCCTGTGAGCATCCTTGGAGCCACGTTCCATGGTGCAGGGTCACTTCACCTGTGGCTGATGCAGGACACAGTGTGAACACCCTGCTTGCACTGGAAATATTCCCAGGCCTGACCTCTATGCCACATACCTGCCTCTGAGCAGCTGGCAGCAAACAGGGGAACGTGTTGGAGCACAGACCGAGTGGGAAGGCGATAGATGCGCCTGTGTTTGCTTCCATTTCCAGCCCAGACATCTGCTCTGGGGCCCCTGAAAATCCGAGACGAAGCCCAGGGAGCAGAGCACGTTTCGGGGTGGGCTGTTTGACATCTCGGGGCTGCCGAGGCTATTGTGCAGCTTGTTTTTGCTTCCCTCTTCACTGGGGGCTGTCTGCTGCCATACAAAGGGCAAAATGCCGCAGCGGGAGATGCCGTGCTCGAGCCAGGAAAACCCAGCCGACGTTTTCCTCCTTCCCTGTCTTTACCACTAGATGTCATTGGAAAAGCAACATCGCCAGCCCTGCTCGGCTCACCGGGATGGGATTCTGGGGGGTTAACAGGTCCTTCGCCCACCGCCGGACGTGAAGCATCTTCCCAGCCTCCTCCTCCTCCTCCTCCTCCGTGGCTTTGTCTGTCTGCAGACCCTCTGGAAAAACCATCGCCGGGGATTCAGGGTTCAATGGACATTGAAATGCAACTGAAACCTTTTTTCCCAGCGCCTGGCTAAGCCGCCCGCTCGGACCCTCCCAGGAGGGAGCCGCACGTCACCCGCTCTCAAAGGGGCGACGCTGTCACGCCGGGACCCGCGGCACCTACAGCAATATGGTCCCCTCAAACAAGTCGGACAAACAAGGCCTTTATAGGCACTTTCTTTTCTTCTGGAGTGGAAGAGAGAGGAGCCGGGGGAGAACTCGGGGGCGTCCCACCGCAGCGGAGCAGCACACAAAGGCTTGTAATGAAAGGGGCGCCAGCAAATCCTCTTAGGGGCTTCACTGTGTGCACATTCATATCCCGGCCCCATCTGCCGGGGGGATCCCCGGGAGCGAGGGGGGAGCGGGGCTCTCCCTGCCCCGCGCCGCCAAAGCAACCAAAGCGCATTCAGGGAGGGAGAAAGGGATGAAAAGGAAGAAAGGCCAAGCCACGCCAGTGCAGAGCCGGGCTGGAAATACAGCTCTGCCGAGGAGGAGGGGGGTTGGCTTACAGGGGGAGGGGGACGCAGATGTGGTGGCGACTGTGGGAGTGCCGACACCCCACCCCCGACCACTCTTGGACGCCGGGGATGAGATGGGAGCGAGGTGGGCATGAAGAGAGCCTGGTGCCTCCGGACAGAAGAGCCATGATGGCTCCCTGGGCACAGAGGAACACCCTCCGTGGGTTTAATGGTGCCTTGAGCGGTGGAGACCTGCTGGGAACTGGTGGAGCTGCAGGAGGATGGAAGTGACCTGGCCAGGTGGGGAGCCAGTGGGCTCATAATGGTGCTTGACCCCACACAAGCAGAGCCAGGCTAATAGGACTTATGTTTCTTCCCAAGATGGGGGAAAGCCAGGAATACTTTTAGTCTGGTCTGGAGAAAACACCTGTCCCTTCCTAGAAGCAGGTGATGACTCAGTAAATGACACACATTGATACCCACTTCTTGGTGCTGCAGGACAGCAAACGTCCTGTCTCCCATGGGTTTGCCTCTTCCTTTTCCTGCTCATCCTGCAGCCTTTGTGCACTGGGGAGCCCAAGGACGTGTCTAAACCAGGTCAGTCTATACCAGGAATTCGCTCCCTGCTCCCCCAGGCTCAGGGCAGCCACGCTGAGATGCTCAGACATGGGTGAGCAGATCCGAAAGGTTAGGCCAGAGTGATGGGTGGATTTGGACAGTTGACCCAGAGAAGCTGGGAGCCCTGCCTAGGCTTGGACACAGCGAGGACGGAGCCCAAGTGACCTAAGTCCAGCCTAAGTCCCCTGGGGGATGACTGATGTGCTTGCCTAGTGATGCCAGGGACTTGCACGTTGCAGCACTGTGGCAAAAGTGGGGAGGATGGGATGTTCTCTCTCTCGTTTGGGTGAAGGATTTAATTACTGCAGCCAAGGCAGCTTGTCCATCCTTCTAGCCTGGAGCCAGTCCAGTCCAGGGAGTGGTCCTTCCTCTCTGGTGGCCTGGAGCCAGTGCTCCACGAGCCCTTCCAATTCTGCCAGGAGGTGGTTGGGTCATGCTCTGGGAGAACATCTCTTTCCTGCAGCTGGGTGGGGATGTCAGGGAACGAGGATAAAATGCTGGAGAGGCAAAGAAAATCAGGATGCCTCAGGTCTCTTCAGGAGGCAGGAGTAAGACTGAGGTTGGGATGTGACTGCTTTGGGCTGTCCCATCAGGGTACCTCAGGCTTCCAGCCACGTGGCTGAGGAAAGCATTCAGGAGTGAAGCAGGAATGCAGGAGTACAGATAATTCCCACCTGGGGACCTCCAAAGCTGCTCCCAAGCCCTGTGATCAGGGTGGATGACAACGGGTACATCCATTATCTGGAGGCTTCTGTTCTCTGCTGCCTGCAGAGATGACTCAGGAGCAGGTTGGGTAACTCCTGGTGCCAAGCTGGTGATGAAGGTCAGACAGTCTGTGTGAGGCTCTCCCGGGTGAGACAGTGTGAGACACAAACAGCGACAGACCGAGGGAGAGAGGGGGATGTTGGAGGGCACCGCCTCTCAGAGGGCACCACGGGCCACCCACACCAGTCTGCTGAGTGACACCCATGGGAAGGTCTGCACAGCACCTCACCTGAGCTCCTGCTGTCATCTCAGGCTCTGGGCACTGCCTACACACCCTTCCAGGGAGCCAGCTGGCTCAGTGGCACAGCCTGGGCCATCCAGATTGTGTCAGGAAAGGTCTGTGGGAAGGACTCGGGGGTTTGGCTGCTGAGTGTGACCATCAGATAACTTTGAGCTCTGGCTGGCCTGGCTGCATTTGAAAGAGCCAGCTGGAGCAGTTCTTCCACAGGCAGGGGAACGAGTTGTGTTTGTCCCGCCTGACTATTCCAAAAATTTTGTGAGGTGCGTGGGAGGAAGGAGGGGTGCAAGAACATCATCTTGACTCTTTGCACTGGTGATCCAACATCAGTGCAGGGATCAGGGAGGGAATGTTGAAAAAGAAAATGAGGAACGTGGTAGTGGCCCTACCTCACTGGGTCTGACCAACCATTTCTGCTCCAGTGACCTCCACCCTTATCCCAGTCACCACTGCCTCCTTAGCAGGAAGGGTTTATGATGCCCCACGGAATGCAACCAACATGCTCATGAAAAGTGCTGTCATGGACTTATTTTCCAGTGCTTGCAGATTTCCACCTGCATCATGCCCTCGAGCTTCCAGGGAAGCCTCCTCCTAGCAGAGCTGCAGCAGTGTGAGTGCTCAGGCCCTGCAGAACATGCTGCTCAGGTTCAGGAGTGCCTGATGCCCACTGGACAGTGCTCCATGCACCAAGAGACCAGCTCTGAGAAGGGCAGTGTGAGGCACTTCATGGTGAGGTGCAGTTTTTGGCATAAACTGTTGCCAAGGGTACTTTCATAGAATCACAGAATGGTTTGGGTTAGAAGCGACCTTAAAGGCCATCTTATTCCAACCCCCTGCCATGGACAGGGACACCTTCCACTAGACCAGGTTGCTCCAAGCCCCATTTCACTTCCTGCCCATCAGCCTGGCTAGGAGCCCTTGGCACATGGGGAAAAAAGGTTTGGCACTGATCCAGAGTCAGGGGTGGATTTCTGTGCCTCTGGTGGAAGGCAGCATATGGGATTTTTTTATTTCTCTTATTCTGAAGAGAGCACTTTGAGTGTCTTCAGCCCCCACCAAATGCAGACACGCTTCTGTTGATCCCGTGGAGCTCATATCCTGTGGCAGCGAGCTCCCAGGCAATCACTCAGCATATGAAAGTATATCCCTGACGAAAAGGATCGGAGATTGCATCAGAAGGCATCGAACATCCCCTCCTGGAGGCCAGCAAAGCCTCCACGAGAGCGAGAAACGCCGCTGACATTTTGCTGTGTGTGATTCCAGCAGGACATGGGAGGTCGAGCTCC